TAAATGTGAACATTTATGGACATCAGTAGTATCTACCTGCTGTGTTGAGATTTTATCCTGTCAATTAATTCTTGGATTTTACCATTCAAAATATGATCTGTTGACTATTTTTAACTAAAGTCTAAGTAGATAAACTTGCTTACATTTTTGTTTTCAATGAATTGAGTAATTTAATCGTAAATTTATCGTTGTCTACACAAACTTCATGATTAAACCACTCAATTTATGAGAACATGTTGAGAAAGTTTCTTCACTATGTTATTATTATTATTACTAAGGTTTGTTTAAACATATTTATTAAGGAATGGTTTTACATTTCGGTGGGTGATATTTAATTTTTATGGTGTTATAACACATTCCCATTCTCATTTACATTGATATTGACAATGTTAGTTATTAAATAAGGGGTAGAACATATACTCGGGTCTTATTGTGCAATTATTCAAAATACACATTACAAACTAATATGTTAATTGTATTCCAGTTATTTAATATGGATAAATACGTGGGTTTGTTTAAAAAGAATGACCTTCAAAATCAGTTCACTCGAACACAATATACACTAGATAATCGTCATGACTGAACAATGAAATCTAATTAGCATATATATTGTTTATAGTTTTAATGATAGTTATTCTGTCATGTATAATAGATTTGTACATACAAGTTTGGTCGTCACCACGGGGAGAAAACATGATTAAATTAAAAGTACTCATTAAGGAATGAAATGTCCATTTGACTTTTCTAAATACTAACATTTATTTTTCGTAAATCTTGTTGAAAGTTTTGATCACTTGGAGTAAATAAAATCTAGTTATGAGTTTGAAAAGTAAACTCTGACTATAGTTCAGCACACTTGGAATATCGTGTACTCAGTGAATTTGAAGGATTCTGACTAACATACATTGCATATTGGCCCAACAGCTTTCTTATAATGTTAAAAGATTGTAGATTCAAATAATAATGATATTATTACGCTTTCACATTAAGTATATTTCTTTTAAATAAATGAACTACAAATCAGTCCCAGTTACGTTCAGTTCACAATATATGTCCTTACTAAAGAACATGTATGCATAAAGTGAAATGAGAATGCGTGTTTTGGTAAATAGTGTTATACTGTAGTAATTATTAATTATCGGCCAACTGCTAATGTTTCATAGAACTTTCAGTTATTTTCTTTAAGTTAATCTGGTGTCCTAAATCGCCAAAGTAAATTTGCGAGGCTATTTTATGTGAGTAGGATTATTACGAAATAAAATTGATGTATATGTCTAGATCGTCTATGTGAATAGCTTTCAATGAGTTGAGAGAGATTGTTTTCAATTTATGAGTGTTTCGTATTGTATTATAGGAAGATGATCTTTAATTTTGATAATGAACATGATTCATTTATTATTGAATTGATAAACAAAATGATAATTGATAAGTGGTACGCAGTGATGTTATGTGGCTAAATGATAATCCCTCATAAAGACCAAGCTAATTAGTATCGAAATTTAAGACTCGTCAGTAGAATAAGTTTTTTCACAACAAAATTACATATGAAATATAATACGCCGTTAGAAGAAGCAGGTTTTGTAGATTTATAAATGAATCAACGAAATCAATAATCTTAATCACTGGTTTTATTTTTGTTATGGATGCTGAGGAATAATGTGCCAATCATTAGCATGTTAAGTCTAATGATGTCCTTGGACGTTAAATGAACATTTCCTATTGGCCGCTATTTATTTCACTCGTTAAATATTGTACAGATGTTGTTTTCTATTTTTATGGTATGATGTGGTCTGTTTGGTTAGTATATAAATAGAGTATGTTTGAAATATAGCGATTCATAACTCAAAGGCTGTGACTTGCGTTCTAGACTCAACTGGCTGGGCTAGACAGGGAAGCGGGACCAATCGTGACTCTAGATCGTCCTTACGTGTTTTCCCGTGTCACTGTAGTCGATCGATAAATACGCTGCTCCATCTAAACTGCAGTCCACCCGTTACAACAATTTTTACTCCATTTATTCAAAAATAATCTATATTCTTACTTCTCAGTTAGTTCTTACGTTTCGATAAGATGTTGTAGTTTGGGTCTATTATGAGTAGAGAATAACAACATACTGGGTTAAATGAACTTCAGAGCTTATATGTTTTGTGGCAAGTATCAACCAATGGATTGGAATTCAATGGTTTTTAGCTACCTTTGTGGGATTTAGCACTATATTTGTTTGATGTCCTTCTGAAAGTTAGTTATCTTTCAATTACCTAATTAACTTCAGTCTTTATCCCTCCCATTAGATCATAAGCTTTAAAATTATTATCTGAAAGTGTTTCATCCCGTTATTTCATTCTATTTTCTCGGATTATATTCTTTTATTCTTATTCTTTTCTACTACCACTGATACTGTTACTATATAAACTAATCTGGTATTTATTTTGATAATTTTATCTTCCTGTCCTGATTTGGATGGCAACAGATAGGCGTATATGCCAAGTTGATTATAACTGACTGAATAATTCCTTGAGAAATTTTATCTAATAACTAGTGATTGGTGAAAACATTGGCTGGATTTTTAAATGAGATCATTTTTTTTTCTACATATTCTTTATATCATTAAAAATCCTATTCACTAGGTCAAATCGAAAATTATGAATTAACATAGAATTATAACGAACAATAAGTTATTTCAATATTATATCACATGAAACTCATCAAACTTTAATCTCTGAAGTGTCATATAGTAAGACAATCATCAGTTTTGATGTGTAATTTTAAATAATAAACTAGCAAAATCAAAGTAATTTACCATATAAAAATATTTAGTTTTACACTTTAGCCTCTCAATTCATGTAGATATAACCAGAGAAAATTGTTAAAACTAGTTTATTGTTGATCAAATAAAATTGTTGTTAAAATCTCATTGATTTATTTGATTAAAATATAAGGTACAAATATATTTTTTGGAACAGATGAGTTGTGATTGTTATAAGAATCCAATGTGTACGTTTCGTTGCCAGAATGTTCTTTTATCCTAACATTGATGTTCACAATAGTAATTAAACACAGTACCTTTCACTTTGAACTTCAGTGAGTTATTTATTCATTAAGCTATTAAGTTCATTTAAATACCATGAAGTACTGATTTACATTTATACTTTAAAATACTTAATATTTAAATAATGTAACTTACATTCATTGAACTCTGACTTTTACTGTATTTTCTACCTATTTCGCAGTATAACCAGTAAGAATTGATAAGAAAATCATTTTACAGTATCCGTCCATTCATAATACTAAAAAAATCTAAGGTCATGGACAATGAACAAATGAAAAAAAATGTTATTTAAAGAGTAAAATAAATTTACATTTGAGTACTTATTACTTGTTAGTTTTTTTAAATATTTTGTGCACTTTATAATCATTCACCCATCTCTAAATAAATGAACTGATAAGGATATATATGAATAGATTGATAATTGACATAACTAATTCTCATTTTTCAATGGAAAATTGTATACTATTGTGTAAATTTGTTTAGCCACTGCATATATAAACTCAGTGGTTAGCTACTTTGGTTTCCAGCACAATTATTTAGTGTCATTTCATTTATTTACTCAGCTTTGAGCAGTATTTCAGTTGTGTATATTTAAGGGTTAGCAAAACTATTTGGCTTCAAACCTGTGAAATATTTATTAGTGACTGAACACAGCTCTGCCATCAAGCATCTATTTAACTTTCATCGAAATGTTTAGGTGAGATATGGATTAGACAGAATAAGTATTCTTATAAAACTAGCTACTAACACCTGAATTTCTCTCCAGCTACTTAGGTTTGGGAGAGGGTTGGTAGTGATAACAATTAAAGTATGTTCTACGGAGCTGAGATAATGAACCTGTACTTGGTAAAGAATTGAGTGCACATTTTTAAAGTTTACTTGAGTAATGTTTATTCAACATGTTAAGTGACACAGTCTTTAGCTTCGAATCAATATTTTTTATAATCGACGTATGTACAATAACGATGGGAAGTTTTTTATATATTCGATTCATATGATTTCTCTATATTTTCGTTTATAATTCATCCATTAAATCATCATTAAAATCCCATTAACAACTGGTAAATCAGTGATTAGCATTAAAATGAGTTTCAGTGGATACTTCAAAGATACCACTGAGATCTTCATTTATGCTGAAAACAATATATTACTTTCTATGACTTCACGATTAGTTACACGGATGAATCATAAGAGTAATAAAAAGTTGATTGAAGAAATCCTCCTTCAACTTCTCAACTTGGAATTGTTTCACGTCCGATCTCTATTGAACTCTAATCATTGTTAGTGTAATGAATTAGTGTGAAATACCATTCCATGGTTCGTATGACAGATTTTTCGGTATCCTTATATACATATCTGACAAAAAACAATCCATTAAAAGTCCAAGATGTAATCCGGGATCTTAATGTCTATTTTAAGCTAATTTTGTAAAGTATCTTAAGTAATAACTTTATTTTTTAAGTGATATTTACCACGTTTTAATCTTATTTGGGGGTATCACAGAAAACCAGAGAGAACTGGAGACGTTTCATCTTAGTATATGATTCAGCAGTGAACATCGACGATCACGCCAGGACCTTCAAATCCGAGGGACGAAAATTTTTAGTTTCACCAATTTACTTAATTCATTTTGAAGACTAACTTGGAATGATAAATGAGATGATTTAATACAGAAGGCAATAGTTATCAATTTTCATACTCCGTAACTCGTGACACATTTATTCATAACAGTCTTGAGGTAGATATTTTGCTGTCAAGAGATCGAGTATTGAATTGTCCCAATCTTTTAAATCCATTCAATCGGCAAGATATTCTTGTGTCATATAATGAAATGAAAATAGTTTGTTGGTCGAAAGCTTAGATTCAGTAATTATCGGGAATACACATTTCGGTAGTGATCATGTCAACTTACAAGTGATCTTTAGTATTCAGGGTGTTTTTAAATCTATATTGATTGAAATAATTGAAATGATTTTGATTATTATGACATACTAAAGCGTTAATTTGACCATTAAGCTACTCGGTATTCAACCAGTAGGTTACAGGTTTCAATCCTCTTTTGATATAATTCGATATTCACAGCACAGTGGTGTTCTTAGTCCTCAAAAACAGATAAATAGTATTGTGGCTTAAAGTTGAGTATTTCGTAAATGAGTCACATTACATTACAACACTGTTAGTAGGATATGTACTATACCATTCTTTATGAATAGTTACCTTATTTGCTTGAATTAAGGAATATAATTTAGAGGGAAACCTTTAATCCTCTCTCCTACAATCAGTAACAGTTTATTGTACCCATGTCCTCTATGCATTAATTATCGTTTTCATAATATTGTCCGTAATGTATTCTGTTGACCTATTTCAATTTTCTTGGTGTTTGATAGAATTGTTAATTATTGCTATTGTTGACGTCACAATTAAACAGAATACACCCACTGAGAAATAAATGTGGAAATAATGGTTTAATAAAGTATTGTCTTTTTGTCCAATTCATTTTCAAAGCTGTACAATCGCAACGATAAGCGGTAATATGTATGATAAAACTCAAAATATGGTTATGAAAAGCTTGAATATTCCTCGAGACCAGCAAACATATTGGATAAAGAATAGTGACTGTAGAAAATGGGATTGAAAACATGATATGAATAAATAAAATACAGTCGAAGAGAGAGAGACAGAATAACTCAGTCATATATAGAAAGTGAATAGAGAGATAGAAAGATGGGAAAGATTATGATTTTATAAAACCAGGAGTTAATTAAGACTATGATAGAAGACAAGTTCGAGAAGAATTCTTTAGTATAAATAGCTCACGTTTTTCTAAATGTTAATATAGTAAAGGCTTCAGCAATGGTAGGAAAAAGGAAGGTCACTGTTTTTGGCGAATTTCTGTCATTCAACTTTTAGATAAATTTTTATTCTGAGTTTGTTTTGATCGATTGATTTGTTTAATAACGGTGCGCGTCATATCACCTTGACAAATGTTTTTGAAACCACTTGTAAAGAATTTACTAGTCCATACTTCTACTACTTAGTATTTTCAAATTATTGACTATTTGAACTTTTCGAGTGATTGAGTGCTCAGATGGGGAGCAATCAAAATGGATATAAACTTAAATGTGACAGGAACATCAAAATTCACTATGACATACATAATTCATGTTCAGTGAGTTATCATTTGTATATATAAACCTTAATATCCGTATTAATGTGAATAGTACTAGTTTCGAACTTATAATCTGTTTACATGAATGATGTTTTATATGAACAATGGCATTCAGTTAATATAAGCTATGAATAAATTTGCATAGATATAAATCAATGGTTAGAAATATTCATGAATTAAAATGGTGTAAATATGGTGTACATAAAATATTCAGCCTAGCATAACACCAATGTACTCATTCTCGGAAATTTGGAGCACAGTACATTACAATACCATACCTATTTGATTTTTAATACAGCACTAAAAACTATTGGATTGGGGTGCAAAAAATATTGTTTGGTGGCATTTTAACTACAAATAGACTGATTAATCAAGGACATATACTTGAATAAATTGAGTGAGGTAAATATACATACCTCTAAAAGAAACGTTTGTTTGAAAGTCACACCATTCATCTATTAGATGGATGGAAAAATAGTTCAAAGTACTGGATATGCATGACATGGATTAAAAACTTCAGAAATTACCTGAATCTCTGTCTCCGCTCATAAATTAGAAAAAAAATTATGTCACTCGGTTTCATACCCTGAATTTCATAGTTATGTATTTTATGTTTGAATGCAGAAAGTCACTTGACTAGTTTTTTCAATGATGTGATTGATAGATTAGTATTTTTGCGAAGACTAATGATCGTTAATGTATACAGTAATTGTGTTTATGGAGATAAATAGTTTTAATATAATTAGGTCTCTAACATCATTGTTTGTTAGTTTGCACGTAACCATCAGATAAGAACTATGTAAATAAAATAATTGAAGGGGATTTTTCACCACAAATTAATTCGAATTAAATAAAGATTGAAAAACTAACCGGTTCTGTACTCATTTTCTGAAACATTAAAAACACATTCATAGCTCATAGTCTGGAAGTTTTGCCATAATAAATTTCTGTGTGTTTTTCATTCACTAATGAGTATACAATTTTTTGTAATGATGATCAATCCAACCTACTTTCACTGTGTTATGTTCCATAATCATGTAAAATAGAATCAGTCTGAACTAAAGTGTATTGATATCAATCTAGTTTACGTAAACATAATACATCTCGTTTTCATTCTGGACACCGTGTCCGGTGATCAATATTTATCATGAAACATTCATTATATATATATATAATGTGAAAATATATGAAATCATTTTACTAGTAAATGTTCATAATGTAACTAAATAGATTACAAATGTGTTAGGTATGTAATACTACTTTGTAGTACTAACTAACTAACCTGGGATTAACTGAGAATTATTAATTTGTGATGTAATCAAAATCACTTAGATGATTTCTTCCCGGAGTAACCTAAGGTGGAGATTCATTGTAAAATAGATAAAACTGTTTCGTTCTAGTTTAAAGCTTCTTAACAGTCCTTCTCTTCGACCACACCAAAGATCGTGCCTAGAACTCTCAAGTCTCGCGGTGAGCATCTTACCTTTTTACCACTGCGTCTAAATCTAATAGTCTGCAAGTTCAACTTCAGCCAATCAATAGCGCGATGATTATAAGATGTCATCGACGACATCTTCATAACTAACGAAATGATCAAATTCTACCTAACATAGCCTCTTATAAGAACTTCTGGAACCCAGCCAGAAACAAGTCACTGGTCAATACACAATAATTCTTCAGTTGATTGATCCTTTACAATATATTGACCAAATAATACCTTATATTATTCATTGTCCAATTTTTCTCACTTTATTTTGCATTGTTAGCTTATTATCAGTGGGTACCGTTTGTACTTGGCCTACAGTGCATATTATTTTATATTCCACATATTGCTTGGCAAGCTGCTTGCGCTTGTCGTTCTGGCGGTGATATGTTTTCGTTAGTAAAATCAGCGGCAGATGCTGCCATACTATCTCGAGATGATCGTCAGAAAGCAGTAGCTCGTGTAGCGGAATTCATCGAGGATATGATTGGAATGCACAAAGAATGTCGGAAAGTAAGTTAATTTAGACATATCTTACTGAGTTTCAGATTTCCTATAGTAAAAGTTTCTAAACCTATTTGAGACATCTTTACATTTTTCATCGAACAAATAAAATGTTATGTTTATTTACGTAAAATAGATTGAATGTGACTAGTAGTGGAATCCAGGAAGTGCGTTCCATTCAATCTGAGACTCATTCTGGATTTCACTGTTAGCCACATTCCATTTACTCTATATAACCTTACGTCATAAAAGTTTTATCAAGGGAATCCGCATAGGATGCCCATGTGTCAACTAAGATTGACCAGATTTCGAATGAAATAACAACAACAGGATAATCGAAATCATTACAAAATGTACTGTGCTTATTGTTTGACTGTTTGGTGATAAAATTAGTTTGCCATTGGAAACTGATTGTTTGAACTGAACTGTTAAATATGTCCCCAAGTATGGGACTATTTAGTAGGGCTCCATTGATAGAACCCGAAACCTTCAAATCTCATAACAAAGGCTTAAAGTTCAGATCACTGAGTCAAAGTCCAATAGTTGACATTTCTAAATTCAACTAATTGTCAATATTGCTCAATCATCTACCAACCTCATTAGTGGGTGATTGTCTCACATCCAGTAGGTTTGAGCTCCACTGGTCACAATTTCTTGCAAGAGCCTCATGATTTACCTATCGAAATTGGCCACTGAGTGATCGCATCTGATGAACCTCACACTAGGTTGAAACAATTATTCAGTTTCAGTTTTTTTAACTGAGGTTAGTTTATGATATAAACAATAAAATCTAACTCTGCAAACCAGCTATAATAATAAAAAAGTTAAGATTTTCGACCATGATAAGGTCATTACAATAAGATTGTCTTGCTTTATGCATGGGTTAATATATTCATGTCTAAAGTTAAAATGCTTATAATTTATCGGACATTTTGCCTAACCTTCTCTTTCAAGAATAGTGAATTTGCGAGCACAGGAAGTATTAGTGACTCATTGACTACGAACAGTCACATTCAGTCACCAACGAGTAGATCACTATTCCTCAACACATGATGATAGCTCCTTCTTTAAGACTAGTACGGGTCTTACAACCATATGCTATTACCCCATCAAACTCGAGTCTAAATAATGATACAGACTATACAAATTCCAAAAACAATCATTCCTGACTTATCCTAAAAAATGATGGATCAAATATAGTCCGTAATACTAAAAGCAAAGAAAATACAGACCCGTACAAATATATTCATACCAATTGAACAAGCTGATGGCTATGTTGACTCAGTTACTCAGTGAATGACTTGGCGGAGTTTAAAGTAAAATAGTATATGGTTTGTGTCTCAGTGTGAACGACAACACAATGACGCATCCATTTTCAGCCGAAAAATGCCAAATAGAACTTGAATTTCGCTGTTAACCCGAAATTCAACTCTACTATAACTTGCAACTAAATGACAATATATATATATATATATATATAATTACTATTATTACTATAACACAGCCGTAAACTGCATTTTCCAGTTTTACTGTATTCTAACTCTGTCTCTCTTTTTTTTCTAAGGGTAAACGTGCTAAACTGACTAAAACAGCTGCTCAATTTGGTGGGATATTTGTAGCTAGTAAAAGACTCGGTACACACTTGATATTTTCTTATTTATGCGTAAAAATTGTTACAATTATTAATGCTGCATTACAACTATTTTTAATTCAACGGTTTTTGGGCTTTTATTCAAATGGCAGTGCAAGTCGACGTAGCTTACAATTAGGCAAAGTGACTGATTTTAAAGCATGTAAGTTTGATAATGATTATACTATTAATTAATAATAGTCGTTGTTTTAACTATTTACCAATAGATTTCATTGTGTAGGTCATCTACGTTCTTTATAATGGAGAATAATTGTTTATTCAATACAACATTGAACTTGGGTCTCTAAATCAATAGAATACGATACTTGAGCACATGATACCCTCGAATGAATTATTCGACAGTTGAACAAGAACAAAAGGATATAAACAAGAATAGTGTCGTACCAACACAGTAAAAAGCAGTTTTGGGATGGTATTTCATATTTAATTTAGTTGGATGTATCTATCTCCGCTCATTAGCCATTCACTGATTACCTTGACTGACAAATTATTCTGATTTTTCTTTAAAATAAGTATTCATATGTTATATGGTCATTATAATGTAAATAAGCGATTACTGAATACTTGTATCAAAGTTTGACCAAATATTCAGGTAAAAGGCATAATATTTAAGTTGTTAGAAAAGAACAAATGTTTTACTATTGAACATCATAAAATCACTGTTTGTGTGAGTGCTTTCTACAAAGAATTACTACTGATTGAATTGATGATTAATTAGCTATGCTATATCATTTGTATGTAGTTTGATAGCGAAATCACTATAAGCCTTCCACTAACATAACTCAAGTATTTTATTTTGGGTTTGACGCTAAAAGGAGGTCAAAGGAAGTTTTACGAGTAGTGACTTTAATCTTATTACTACACATCAGTCAGGTATTTATATAACGTTGTGATTAGTAAAGGGGCATTTAATTTGTGTTATATGTTACTTACAAACACATCATACGCACTGACATCAGATACATCCAGTTGAAACTTAGATAATTATGAAGTAATGATATGTAATATGTATACATTAGGGTTTATAAAAGTGTTTAGGAGCCGTGTACATAATAATTCTTTTGTAACTTCAAATTTTGTGCAATTATTCCATTTGTTTGGTTTTCGGATTCATGGCACTGGCGAAATTTGACACATCATTTTGCAAAATTGTTCAAAAATGTTTGAATAAACACCTTTGTGGTGGTGACTATATAGTTACATTATTAGTTTGTTTGTAAAACTGGTTAGTGAATTGGAATTGAATTCGTTTTGTGCAGGGTAGTAGTGACTTCCTCAACTTTTTTAAGGACAGTCATTATAATCACATATTGGCTAATAATTTTAGTTCACTACACGACGGTTCATCTTTGTAAAACAACTAACCACTAAAAGTCAACATATGTTTTGTTTTAGTATGGGACTTCTCAGAAATGTTCATCCACATGCTCTGTTCTTCAAAGATTGAACCTATGAACACGTTACATTTAGATTACTAAGTCGAAACTCAAGGATTCTCATTTCTAAATTCAATATTTAATGAAATGAATATAATAATTTATATTTTTCATGACTTTTCTTTTATAAACTTCAGTAAATGATTTATCCTATTCAGAAAATGAAAATGTTGAAGGTTATGGATTTGGTTTAACTGTTGTTAATCATATACGTTCTGGACGTGATTGGCCTGAAACTATGCTATTTCCACGTGTAGCATATTGTCGTGTACCGGGTATAAGATTAGTTGGTGTAAAAAATTCATATACAGCACAATGTGCACTACCTATAAATATGTTAAATGAAAAAATTTATATATTTTTCTGGTTTTGGATTGTTTTCTTACTGATTATATGTATTCTTAGTTTGTTATTATGGCTAACACGTATGATTTTAGCATCAAAACGTAAAAATTTCATTAAACGTTATCTTAGATTAAAAGGTATTCATTCATTAAAAGGTGATGAATTGAAACAAAGTGATTTAGATGAATTTATTGATAAATATTTACGTGCTGATGGTGTATTCATCATTCGTATGTTAACTATTAATTCAGGTGATATTATTACAGGAGAAATTGTCACTGAATTATATAATAACTTTATTAATCATTATCATAATACACATTCAATAGATAAAGAACAAGATTTAATGAAACCGGAAAATATTGGTTTTACTAATCTTGTTTAATGATGCTTGTTAAATTTTTCTTTTAATCTATGTGAATATGATATATCATGTTAGTTTACTGGAAGAAAAAATAAAGAATATGTCAAATAAACAACCACAACAACAATAATGTTCATTTAAAACAACATTGAACTAAAAGAGATTCAAATTATTTGTGATTTACACTGACAACAACAATAAGAACATTCATATTTTGATTAACTTGTTCACTTGTTTCTTCTTTTTTCTTTCTTCTTACTGAGGACAAAATAGAAATTATTTTTTGAAAAAAAAATCAAGTTTGTTTAACGTTAGCAATAGACGTTTTATTAAAATGTTAGGTATTATTGTCATTACTATTACTATTAATATGAATACGACTATATTATTATTATTATTATTATTATTATTATTATTATTATTATTATTATTAAAAACTCTTTGAAACTGCTAATTAGCTGTGAAAACTTTATTAGTAATTATTCTGATATTTTCTTTTATATTTTTCTATACAACGGATTACTAGAATTGGCACCTTAAATATTTGTGTGCGTACATGTTTTTTTAATTTTAAAAATGATAAATCTTTTAATATAATACATCAGACTAGTACAATCAAATCTTGTATGCATATTCATTTCGGTAAATGCTGGGGTTGAAGCTATCACGAGTTCACTTAATCTGCGAATGAGAAACAAGACTCAGTGACCAATGACCAGTAAGCTAGCTATTGATGCATCTCAGCCTCGCTAACTAGAAGGAGAAAGCCAAGTTTAGAATGGGGAAGTATATTCTACAAACAGCCAGAAACGAGCGATAACAACAAACACAATTCAAAACATATATATACAGTACAAAACCGTCCTTGGGGAAAGTTACCAAATAGCATACTGAAAGACGCAACGGACCAATAGCATTTAAGATATTTCCCAGTGGGGAATATGACACGAAAGTGACAAGAGCGCCTTTGGCGCGAAAATAAATTCAAAATTTTTAAATAAAATTACAAAATTAGGTCCTTTCTCAAGTGAGTTCTGGGGATCTAACGTAGCCAACAGTAAATAACGTTAAAGTAATCAATATTCTGTAGTACAGATCATGAACTCATATGAGTTAGATGAAAATTAGAGGCCAGGGTGCATTGAACGTTTATTTCATCCTGGAATAGGGTTCGTCAGCAGTATTCATTCACTATCCCAAAGGCGATCGGATCCACAAACCATTGTCTGGCAAAGCGATTTTATTTATTCATATATTTTAACCATGTAGTCTAAAAGGATTAAATCGTCGGGGAGCGCCGGCTGGTGTAGTGAGAGAATAAGAGACCTGTTGTTCTAAAGCTGTCTGTGTTGTGTAGCAATTTATGTTGGGAACTAGATCCAGCAATATTGTAAAACATAAACTGTCAGCAGTTAATCTCTCGATGGTTAGGCTTTATTTAGGTGAAAGGTAGTATAAATGTCTTTAGCATGTCACTTTTTAAACCCACTGACAACGACTATGGGGATCAGGACACAAGTACAAATCTGGCAGTTGATTGTTCTGGAACTTCGAGTAGATCAGAGAAAACAGATCTGAATAATTCTTCAAGATGCTCACAACATCTGTTTATTCAAGCTGGAATACTAAAGTTAAACACTGTATTATGCATTTTAAGTCAGTGAAAAAGTGCAAGTCAGCACCATGGTTCATTTATGACGGTAATTTTACAATTAATCGTCTTTTTTATGAGATTTTTCACTCTCACCTCTTCTGGATGCAGCGGTGAGCCGGTGAATAAATCCAATAAAAATATTTCAGTTACATCAGTAGGGGAAACCCGAAATATGAAAACGAAATATCCATTATCTTAGTGTAGCTTTCAACTTCAGAAAATAACAATGGCTCACTGCATTCTTAGTTAATCGTTTGTTATAATCACTAGCCACAAAATCCATTTTAAATCTCTTCATGAAGATTCAAAATTTGATAGACATTCCGTCAAATTCGGCCAATTCGATCATTGGCAATGCAACAACGAAAATGGGATTAAAACTTAAACTAAAATCGTAAGCGGTGTCTAAATGTCTACTGGTATATTGATTAGGTAATCAAGGCAGGCTCAACTCCACTTTAGGTTTAAGGTCCAACCAGAATCAACATAAATAATTTATTTATGAAACGATAATATTATTGATGATGAAACAAGCAATGTATTTCGAAAACATCAATTCATAGGATGTCTAAGGCATTTACACGCGGCTAAAGGAAAATCGTAGTTATATAAGAACTATTTACAAAAATATACGATAAATTAAGCAATAAGCAATAGCTGTATTAATTCAAGAGTAAGAACCAACAAATCAAATTGGGCACTACACACAAAATATGGGGATCATTACGAAAAAACAAGTGTTCAATGAGCAGATGTACAATGGAAATAAACCGTTAAGAATGTTTAGGAAAAATTGTAATAATAAATGGATTAAATGTAATAGATTCTTGTAGATACTTAGAAGTATAGCTCAAAATAATGAAAATAAAGCTGTAGATGTACAAATTATTGACAATGACATACGTTACTGAATATTAGTAAGCAGTATGATAATATACAAAAAGAAACTGAATAAGCCTGAAATAAAGGTCAAACAGAATAAACAGTGAATATAAATTACATTGCATAATCAAATAGATTCTTTACGATATTGTGATGACATCAGTGTTGATTGTCAAAAATACCTCTTGCTTTTTCTTAGTATCAATCAGAATGTTTTTTTATCCAGAGTTATCTTGTTATGATTAATATAAAGAAATTTGCAAGCATAACAATTCATATAGGTCATTTCGCAACAAAAGTAAGCATATAGAATAGTCAAAGCCGTGATATATTCTACTACTCATCTGTTTTGATGCTCACTTTAAAGTATTCCATAGGTCATTTCATTCAAGATGTTGCATTCCAGATTTCTTTTTTACCATTTCAAACAATGGAGATAATTCCATCGGAATCTTTATATCATTTTATTCATTAAAAATCAAATCTCATAAGAGATATCATTTTCATTGAGGCTAATTTCCATAAAACATGAATATATTTAGCTGATACTAGACTCTGTTCAATACAAACGAGTAAATAGCATGGCATTCATTACTGATCAGTGATCAGTTAGTCTACAACTGATACTTACTAACTTACTCCTGTTACCCCTCGAAGCGGAGCATAGGTCGCCCACCAGAACAGCTGATACTAGTAACATTAAAATATCACTGATGAAAAGAACACAAATGTCAAAAATGATCCCCATTTCAGTCTATTCAGTTAATAACCGCTGATTTAAGTTTTCAACAAAATTCCGTACTTCAATAACATCAAGTCAGGGCATAATATTATTTTAAAACTATACACTGTTTTACCTTTCAGTATAAATACTCAATTTCAATTTGCACTATTCGCAAAATACGCCGATCGAATTTAATTAGACCATTTTCATTGCATTTTATGTCTAAAAAAGGTGTGTTCTAGTTAATTAATTTACTCAGCTTGACATATCATATTTCTAAGTTTCATTAGCATTAAAACAAATGAAAATAATTGGACGCTGATTGTCTTTTTTCTCTACGTTGAAAATCATAGTAAACATCGTCAGGCGACTTATAAGTTTCAGAAGTCAGTTCATAAACTTAGTGATCATATCGTTCATTAGTCTTCTGATGATTGTTTTGATAAATCAAAGTTGTTTTGGTATTATGGGTGAAGTAATTTACTAACAATTATAATTTCATAGTTATGTTAATTTATACGCGAAACCAAAAAGAAGATAGAATGAGATCACATGAATGTTGGGTATGAAAAGTATATTATTTTGAGGATCAACTTTTCTGGTTAAATTGCATGTTGTTGTTCTGAAGCAATTTCAAAGCATAAACATTCATGCATTGACCAAGTAAATCACAAGCTACTATGTTTATCATGATTCAATGGCTGCTTAACGGTTAAAGCGCTTGGCATCCAAATTCTAGGTCTGAGATTTAAGTTTCATTTACATCGGATTTCGTAGCGGGTGGCATAAACAAAGTGTGACGTAAAACCGAATACAAAAAGGAATACTTGGTCAGCTGAGTTAATTAGTTCTTAGTGAAATGAATATTTAATTGAAAATCATGAGCTCCGTAATCACCTTTCTCCAGATTACTAGCTCTCTACATTTAGTTTTTGGATTTACAATGCATCATTTCCGAAAGGTACATATAATGTTCATTATAGCATTACTCATGTTCAACCATTACTTCTTGAAGTTAAGAAAGAAATTTGATAAACGACAATTTATCACATGATTTCTCTTATTTAGAGCAATGTTAGGTATTAAAATTTATGGCGCATTACATATGAATAAAAATGTTTCAATTATTTATAGACATAAGCATGGAATTTTGATCCAAAGAATGAATAACTCTTAGAAATTTAATAATCAAAGTAAGAAGATTTGTTTAGAGGCTTACTGACCTTAAATCCTCATACTTGTATATGTGTTAGACACAGCATTATAACATCAATAATGTGAAATTTACATCTTTCGAATGAAGTTTCTAAATTACCTAAGATAAAGAAAACAGCTCTAATGAAACCCAACCTAACAATATGATTTCGAGGATGTATAAATTCGTTGTCATACAAATACGTCTGAAAAACACTTTCATAGAAATATGGCAGTTTAAAGGCAGGATGAAAGAGATTGATGGACAGAAGATAGTACACCAAGCAATCTAAGTGAAATATATTATAAGAAGGCTGTTATAACGTTCAGATCATAGTCACTACAACGAACAAGTCGTAAGAATAAAATTTACTTTAAATATTCCCTTCTAACGAACATCATCTGTAGGTAAGTATGTTATTCTTGCTTCCTTACACTTGTAACCTCTCATAGAGGAGCATAGACCGTAAACCAGCATTTTCCATTTAACACGTCCCAAGCGATATCTTTCAGTTGCTGTCAATAATTTTGATATCTGCTTCAAATTTCCGACTACGTATGTTCTTCGGCATTCCACCTTTCCGATTACCTTTAGCATTCCAAGTTACCGCTCGTTTTCTGATGCATTTAGATGAGAACCATTATGAATGTACCATCCGAATTCAGCGCCGATTCCTGACATTAAATTCAGCTGGAACGTGGTGTGTTCAAAAGGATAAGGGAGAGGTGAAATAATCAAATAAAAATTACACTAATAATGATAATAAAATTCTGGTAAACAAGATAACAGTTAGGTAAAATAAACAAAGTCATGAAAACGTAATTTTTATTAGGTAAACTAACAATAATTTTGGTATCCCTTTGTCTATTCTACTTCACTGTTATCATGTTTAGTAGAATTTTATTATCACTATGATTGCAATTATTATCACTTTGGAAAATAACTTTATACTTCCGATTGTACGGTTTTGACAAATGAATTCGCCAAAAAGACAATCCTTCATTAAATCAATCGTTCTTATTTGAAGTAAAGTATTTCTTTATGATTTAGGTGTGCCCATCGTCAAGTTTTGTAACTGGTTCCGTTGATGGTCGAAATCCAAACAATCATCCTGTACATCGTTTCATTGCGGATAAACTCAACTTCTCCATTAATACCGATGATCCAACACTGACAGAAAGATGGGATTTACAAGAAGCTAAATATTGTATTGAAGAATTAGGCATAGCACCTAATCAATTGAATATTGCCAATTACAATGCAGCTATGGCAGCGTTCGTTACCAGTGCTGAACGGGAACTTTTAATATCACATATAAAAATTCGATCAAAAAATAGAATAATCAAAGTTTAATTAAAAACAAAATCACTATTCTGCTCAAACACACAAAGTGAATCACGTTTCAATCTCAAATATCATATTCTTTCTATATGCACTTTCTTCTCAATAGAAAAACGACATTACTTCACCGATTAGAAAATAATTTACGAATAGATTATTGAAAGAAGCATACTTTTTTATTAGCTCTTATTCACAAAGTCTCATTTCATATTCTAACTTGTGATTATAACTTTTGTTTACTAATTTAATTCTAAAACATTCCATTCTAATATATTATTTTTCATAAGAATCTATTTTGTCTGATCAGAACAAGTTTGAACAACAACTGTGTTGAATTGAAAATAAAGAATTCTTGTTTATTTTAGAGATTAGTACTAATTGGATGACTAATTTCTATATAGAAAGATATTAGTAGCAGTGTGTAATTTTCCGTGGTCGATGTTAAATAATGTGATTGATCAGTCTCTGTTGATGTGCATGCATCATCCTACATGGATTGTTTCGGTATTGTCATTTGGTCAAATCCTTTGGTAAAGTAGCAATTATAGTTACCAATGAAATGTAAAACAAACATTATTTGACCATTTCGCACTCGTCAAATATTTAGATGATCATCTCATTGTTGATTTTCATACTGAGACTCGAACCCAGGACACGTCACTGAAACGCCAACAAACCATCCATCGAGCTACTCAGTCTGCGTAAACACTAACTTGTTCAACGGGTGTGAAGTTATTTTTAGTATTTCTATCTCCCCGTTTTAATAAATAACTTCATGCTCATTAAATAAATTAACATCAACTTACACTCAGTAGCTCAGTGGATGATCGGTTGATGTCTCAAGCTGTGGGTCTCATTGTTAACAACAAAAAATGGAATTGAAATACATCTGCATGACGAGTTTTAAACAAGAGAAAACACTGATAATCAATATTCCAATTTATAAAATGGATTGATATTAACAATAGATGAAATAAATGTATTTCATAACACTCAACCGAAGTTGGTCACATAAAGATCTGAGCCTGAAGAGCAAGACAGATGTCCCTCATCCTGTTGCGAACTTCGAGATATGGAAATAACTGAATAATGGTATGGGAAAGTGTGTTCTCCACAACGTCAACCTGATACAGACATCGCAAAGAAATCTCTATTCGTTATTTACAACATGAATAGTTAATATTACTGTTTCTCATTATGAAAACTTCGTGACCTCTACCACTCAGGAGAAACTCCCGGTCATGAAGCCAGTTAGTGAGGAGGGTGGAGTGCACGGCCAGCGACCACACTTCGTAAAGCAAACTCTGCTAAAGAAACGATAGCCAATAAATTCTGATAAAAATCAGTGTGTAGATACATTGCTACACTTGATCGAGGAAACCAGAAGACTCCGGAAGTCACAAGACCGACCCCCTTCTAATAACCAGGAAGACAGAAACTGATGGAAATATGGAATGGCCGAACAACGTGCCGGACTGAGGAAGTGCTTTAAGTAGTCACAAAATCGACGAGATTCAACCTGAAACACATTGGAATAAGTGAGACCTATTAGGTGTAAATACTAAGGAAAAGGCTAACTTCAAAAGAGATCGACAAACAATCCTTTGAACATGCAAAGTGGTGCTGGACGAAAGGAAGCACCAGTACAAAGGATGGACTACTTCCAACCACTTACCGTGTTGTTAACACACTGAATTAGAAATGCAACACGTTTATAATAAAAATCGGACAGTCTTACACTCTGATATTTTCAAATATTTCAGCAACATTGCTCAAACAAACATTTGTAGAGTCACTTGTTTCGGTCGACTTGCAAAACTATGAAGTAAGTGAGAAATTCGGTCAATTGATTGCACCGATTTTTTCCACTACTGAATTCACAGGTAACCATCAATCAGTCATGTGAATGACAAACTTCCTTCAGAAAGTGTTAATATGTCCAGGTGTTTATGTATTCCACTTTCGCCACCATCTCTACAAGGTAAACATATCAAATTATGGTTAAACAATTTTCTGTTTACCAAATCTTACACAAACGTGAACATATGTTTGTTAAACAATAAAAGCAAACTAACCAGTGAATATGATTAGCTCACACTTATGTGTGGTTGAAATATTTTGTCACTTTGTAACCAAATCTAGATTACAATCATTGATATTACTGAGAGTAGAAGAATTGGCATTATGGATTCACTGAATTGTCCAGTTGAATATACGCATTAAAATCCACCACATAACCTGAAATTAGATATGTACAGTTACTGTTTGTAAAATAGCCTTCAATGGACATGACTTTACATTCCGTCATACTTTTCGATTGTCGATTAATATTCCAGTCTTGTCCATTCGTCCATTTCATCTGATATAATCATACTAATTTGGAAAAATAATCAGAACACGACAGATTGGAATCTAAAACACTTATTTGTTTCTTAATGACTGTTATCACCTATGAACAATTCTCATTCACAATAATCTTCATTAACTTATTTAAAACTCCATATCATAGTCTTTCAACAATCAGTCCCATTTTCGTTTTTTTCCAGTAGTTTTCTATACTCATGGTTAGAGAGTTGATGTAAACTAATCACGGTTGGATTAGTCTTCAACACAAATCAATATCAGTTGGATAATCAACGAAAAGCTCCCAGTTTGAATCACTGTAACAATGTTGAATGATAATTTTGTACACCAACAAGCCAATTTATTATGACAACAATAATTTGCCCCAAATTGATCAGTCTACCATGAGTAACTACAAATAAGAAGTAGTGATTAAACGGACACATATATATGAAGATTAACATATATTTCTGAATTACTCCTACTGCTACTATTACTTTCATATCGCAAAATAAATTTCTGTGTATGAGAAATCACGTGATTAGTTTATGACCCGACTAACATTGAGTCTAAGGAATGCATCGCATCAGACTAAAAATTCATGTGATTGAGGTTGAAAAGTTTGAAAATAATAAAATGTTCTCATCGAGATAAACGAAACTTTTATCACATAATATAGCTTTATGGTTTTAGAATTAAATCAAATCGCGAAAATATGATCAAGTTGATTTAAATAGTATTACTGGAATAAGTGCATGAAATCAGGAAGCAGTAGAAAAGGACTCCATATTTATTTTTATTGTTTCACTCCAGATTACATAACATCGATTGTTTTCCAAATCAAATGTAGAATGGTTCAGTTTCACTGAGTCAAATTTAATTATTATGGTATTACACCTTAAAATCCCATTCATTTTTCTAGTCGGAAATTACACACATTATTCAATACAACAAGCTTTATTAAATCTATAAAATTATTCAACTTATGATTTGTTGATATCCATCTCAGACTAGGCTAAACCCGATTGTTTTTTCATGCAAACTATGTTCTTTGAATATTATTAACATTTACTCAATTTGAACAATATCATATGAATTGACGGAATATCGACACTCCGTTTATTGGAATTAGATTTAATTGTGCATAGAAACGACATCCACACCGCAGGGATTCGATAATCTGTAATTAATGTAAAACCAAATGCTAGGTAAATAATCGTATTTAATTAATCGTACTACTGTGTCTAAAGATAAACACCTCTGTTTTTTCCCACATGTATTCTAAAGATCACGGTCAAGTGAGTTGCTTTCCCTAATTAAGTTCCATAGTTTAATCACAGTTTATATTGTCGAACTTAATCGATCGATTTCAATAAGCATTTCATTCATACCATAATACAATATCTGTTATTAACAAGTGAATGAGTTTTTCACATATTTCCAGTTCTATACTATTTATAATCTAGATATGAGTAAATTGCATTCATAGATTCTACAAGCTGCATGCAACAATGTTGATTATATAGTCGTTGAAAGTTTTAAACTGTCTAAGATTAATCATTCTTTCCAAACGGTGATTTGTTTTTGTGTTAAACCTTAATGAAATTATCTACATTTATCAAAAGGTTTAATTCATTATTATTAATTATTAACCTGACAATTGATTTGTGCATTATGGATAACTTTTAAGAAATTGAGTTAGGCAATTAAAATAAGTCAAATCATGTGATATTTAGAAACTAATAAATCACTAGTGTACTTAAACAAACTATCATCAAGTACAATTAGGTATTTAAAAAAGAGAATGTCAAATTCCATTTAAAGTAAATTTTGATGTCAATCAATGAAGTAAACGGAATTGTATGATACGTTTGCTTGATTTCATGAACGTGTGATATAATACTACTGAATATGGAATAAGGTAAATGACAAAATAATTTTCCAGATAAACAATATATCAATAGAAATCACCATAATTCAATTACTATCCATGATAAATTAACCTACAAACAGAAACAAGGTTGGTAGTTGTTAGATTCATAGTTGGAAATAGGGATCACATAGCTAAATATACAATCGATTATAAAGTTCTATGTTGACTTACTCTGTTCGGAATGCCAGAATTTCCTTATCACGTTAAGTTAACTTGAGTGATAAATATCGTAAATTATGCTCAAAGTAATTGTTTGGAGTCATTGAGAACTCTAATTGACGGATGGATATGATTCTTTGATCTTTGCAGATATTTCAGCTCGACATTTCGCAAGTAATCTTTTCTACGTTATATATATTAAATGAAACACACCATAACTAATCTCGATGCTATCGAAATATTTAGTAGAAGGCTATTTATGTATTAGTTGTCCTTTCAAGCTGCTCTTTTAGTGTCAGACCTGATATTTTGTACAAATTTATCATCGATTACGGTTGTATTAGGACAGTTTGTTCTTTTTATTTGAAAAATACGTCACGTGTATGATCTTTTTAACAAATCATAATGAATCAATTCGATAGGTATTGATAATTTAACTATCTTGTATCGAATTATAGAGAAAAAATTAACTGGTTTTTGATAATTAATTATCAAGCTTTACATTTCCCACTTTAATATGCCGAAATTCTTATTCATACACATTTAGGATGTAGGGGAACAAAACTATGACATATTTTGTTTCACCTCACTTCTAGTTATGAGAATGCAGTGATGTAATAATACTAATAATAAATTTAATGCAAAGTACACTGTGTTATATGATTTAACAAGATTATTATTTTCAATTGTTCGTGTTATAATTGAACAAACATTGAATAAACAATGAGGCTTTTTCCAAGACAATCACGACGTCAATGACTAGAGATGAAGGTTTATTATGTAGCGAATATAAATTAAAACTTTCTTTAACTAGTAAATATTATTAATTTACTGGATTAGATTATTTATCTTTACAAACAGTCTATCAAAATATTGTGACTAATT